CCCCCGACTGCATCTCACAGGGGCTGGGTCACTTGCCACCCCCTGGAATCCCGGGATACCAATATCAGGAAAACCCAACTTTCTTCACTAATGATATAAATCTAACCCTTCACAAGGGGCCTTCCCCAATACCTCGATGAGTCATAAAAAGTTTTCTTTTCCAAAGCCTTTGAATTCTGGTTAATGTGCCTGTCCATGGGCATGTTGAAAGTTCTAGAATGTGCCCTTGAACCTAGGAAAAGGTGGGAAGATTTGACTAGAGAAAGTTGTCACAGAAGACGCCCGGTTTGTGCTTCTGGAAACCCTTGTCAACTTTTGAAAACACAAAGGAAAGAATGCTAGGATTTAAAGTGGGCTTTATATACTTTTATTATTGTTTCTATACACCAGGCAAATACTTTGTTGCGCTTCTTTCCTGCAGTTTCTAAGCAAAATGTAGTCAAAACCAAAATGGTAGAAGCTCACTTTTTTGGATTGATTGATTTTTAGCAATCTCATCTGGTTATCCCCCATGTAATATGAAGGTCATTCCTATTTCCTAAAAAATACAGGTAATGGTCTCACGGTTTCCTGAGTTGGAGCCCCGCATCCGGCTCTGCACTAACTGTGCAGAGTCTACTTGGGATTCTCTCTCTCTCTCCTTCTTTCTCTGCCTCTTGCCTCTCCACCACTCTGTTGTCTCTCTCTCTCAAAATAAATAAAAACTTAAAAAAAAAAAAAAAAAGACGTGATTTTTAGGCATAAGGATGTGTCTGCCTCTTTGCAAGAAAAGTGATATTCCTTAGGTCCTATGAAGTTTAGGTTTAGAAAAATTTAAGTACATTGTGTGCCAAAAAGTGCATCTTTGGTGTCTGATTTTTTACCCCCTCAATTTTACACACTATGTAGAGCATTTAAAAACACCTCAGCAAGTTCGAACCTCTGGTTGGTCTCTGAAAGCAGGGGAGGAAATTTCAAAAGCTATTTACTTGTCTCTCCACCAGAGGTTGAAAGGGTCACCTAAGTAACAGCCGTGGCACTTGGTGCTGCAAGCCTCTGCAAGAAGAGGGAGGCCACTGAAGCCCCGCACTACACCCTGCCTTCTGAGCAACGTCTCTCCAGGAAAGGATACGAAATAAAACATTTCTTTCCCACAGAAGTGTTACTCAAAGGAAGGGCAAGGAGCGAGTGCCTGGTTTCTGCAGCGGTACCTAAGAGTCTGAAAAAAAGTGCATGCAAATTCCAACTTTTAGAATAGTTTCAGCACTATACAATTAAACATTTAGTTATTTTCCTTTTCTGATTGTTTTGTTTTATTTTTCCTGTTAAAAGCTATCTCAACATTACGTGCCTGTGAACTCCAAATTACTACTTCATATGAAGGACTTTCTGAACCACAGCACCCAGCCGAGTTTCCGTAGTGTAGTGGTTATCACGTTCGCCTAACACGCGAAAGGTCCCCGGTTCGAAACCGGGCGGAAACAGATTTTTTCTTTTTTTTTCTTTTTTCTTTTCTACAGGGTTCACCCGAAACGGAGCCATGTGGTTCTCACCAATTATTCCAGACTTTTAAAACACATTCTTAATAGCAACTTACTGAACAGTGAGAATTTAAACTTTCACCCTGGTTATGTTATTCAGCAAATATTTTTATTGACAGCTTGCCATGTGGAAGTGCTTCAAAAAAAAAAAATTCAAATCACAACCTTCTACTTAAAAATAATGTAACATACAGCCTCGAGAGGAGCTCAAACACAGCGGTAAAACTGTTAGCCTTGTTGCCTCCTAAGCACCTTTTGTGTTACAAGTCATGTGGTTTTCCATTAGTTTTCCCCTTCAGACTGCAAATTCCTCATTGCCGGGAGACCATGTTTTAGTCTTATTTTATACATACTTAGTGTCGTGCTTAACACCTGGTAGAGACTTATATTTCTGAATGAACTACCGAAAAGGGTTTCAACAAAATATAAAAGTGGAATCATAAAGGTGTAATCTAGAGCCAGCCTCAACTTTTCCCCTTGTAAACTTTATGGTAGTGGCTTTATTCACAAACATGTTTCTTACCGCCTAGAGAAAAGAAGTTAAAGAGCAAACAGTGTCGTTGAAAAAAATCTCAGAAGAAATGGGTAAATTCCAGTTGAGACTGTCTTTTAAAATGAAGTCATGAGTAAATAGTCTATGGTCCTGACACATCTTTAACAAGAATAAATGTAGTTCTGGTTTTCTTAGAACTATGATATCCGTAAGTACTAGGGGAAAATTCACCGTAAAATATCAACACGACTTATCCTACTGTTTCTGTGCCTGTTGTAGGTTACACAGATAACTGGCATTCTTTTCACTGTACAAAATCTGAATTCGATGTAAATTATTACGTTAAGACATTCCTGGTCCAGACGCAGAACCTTTTGCGGTATAAAGCCCACCTTCCTGCAATGTTGCGTGTGCCCAGGTGCCCTACTGCTTTGCCCCGCTTTCTTGCATCTCAGACTTTTTTTTTTTAATTTTTTTTCAACGTTTTTATTTATTTTTGGGACAGGGACAGAGCATGAACGGGGGAGGGGCAGAGAGAGAGGGAGACACAGAATCGGAAACAGGCTCCAGGCTCCGAGCCATCAGCCCAGAGCCCGACGGGGGGCTCGAACTCACGGACCGCGAGATCGTGACCTGGCAGAAGTGGGACGCTTAACCGACTGCGCCACCCAGGCGCCCCGCATCTCAGACTTTTAACACCAGGTAAGGATATCCTGAAAACTAAGCTACAGTTGGCTGATGCAAACACAATTAAGGGTTCTTAAGAGCTTTCGGGTACATAAACTGAAAAGGAGTGACCAGTCTCAGTTCAAAAATCCTCTCTGGCCAGGAGCCTAAGGACACAAAGCAGCTGTTCCCACTCTCGGGGGTCCCGAGAAAGGAGAGGATGATGGGAGAAACCAAGAAACTACAAGCCCCAGCATGCAGTGCGCAATCTGGCTCCCGGAAAGAGGACTTTCGGGCGGTGCTGCCCGACCTCGGCCCTGAACGCGAGATGGTGACTATCGGCAGACCAGAATGTTTAGAATGAGGAAGACAAGCGGGTCGCTGCGAATGAACCCTTAAGTCCCGTATCCATGACGTTCGCAGTTTCGCTGGAGACCCTGGTATGCAGAAGAGCGAAATCTCTGCGGGCCAGCCCGGTCCGTCCTCGCCGGTACCAGACCTCCACGGTTCCAGAGCCTCCAGCGTTTCCTCTGGACGCCCGGGCCGGATATGATGTCTCCATAGAGGAAGAAGGAAGAGGCGGAGCGGGGAGCGGTGACGTCCTTCCAAGATGGCGGAGAGAGCGTGAAGAAACTGTTGCCCCTTGATTTGCTCTAGGTGAGTCTTTCTTCACGCCCCAGCTTGTCAATCCTGCTTTCTCCGGACGCGGCGTCAGGAGTGAGCAGGCTTCATGGAGTTTGAGTTCAGGTCGAGGCGGAGATATTAACATGGAAAGCTTGGGCGAGGCAGCCCCGGTGTTGGCTTTGGCCACAACCTCTGCTGTGGGAACCCGAGGTAGTCGTGGGAGCTGGCCGAAGGGCAGTGCGGCAGAAGCCGGGAGAGACTGGCTTTGGTTGTCACTCTCCGTTGCCGTCGGGAGGGGGGATGAGAGGGGGTGTGGCCTCCTCCGGGCGAGTGACGGAACCTTGACAACTCTGGCTCTCTGCTCCTTCTCCGCCTCCTGGGCACCCGCCCCGCGTTTTGAAGCAACTGTGTGCACCACAGAAAACTAACAGGTTGTGGGGATTTGAGAGCGGTTTTAAAGAACTCATACTGTGTTTTTTTCCTCATCTGTCCAAAGGAGTCATTTCTTAGTGGTTTGTTAATTTTTTCCCCAACACATACATGCGTACTGAGCTTGGAAGTCTGGAGGTTCAACTGCTGCAAAGCGTGAAATCTTGCGGTGCTTTTTTTTCAGCTCGTGGAAGTGTTTTCACGCATCGCCGTATTATTGATGTGTCCAAACGATTGTGTTAGTTGGCCAAAGATAGACACTTAACCTTCAGCATTTTTAACTAATCTGTTTGATAAGAATTTTCTGTGGGGGCAGCGAGTGAGGACTTTATTCTTGTTCATGTTCTATGTCCCTTCTCCCCTTACCAATTGCTTGGGTGAAACGTTTGATGAAAACTTAGGGTTATTGACTTACTGTCTCTTTTTGTCTTTTAGAACAAGGGTAAAATTCCATTCTGATATCAAAATGCAGTATTCGCACCACTGTGAGCACCTTTTAGAGAGACTGAACAAACAGCGGGAAGCAGGTTTTCTTTGTGACTGCACCGTAGTGATTGGGGAATTCCAGTTTAAAGCTCATAGAAATGTCCTTGCCTCATTTAGTGAGTATTTTGGTGCGATCTACAGAAGCACTTCTGAGAACAATGTCTTCCTTGATCAGAGTCAAGTGAAGGCTGATGGATTTCAGAAACTGTTGGAGTTTATATACACAGGAACTTTAAATCTTGACAGGTAAAGTACACATTTTGTTTTCATTTCTAAAAGCTAGTCAACGGTCTTTAGAGCTAAAGTATATTTGTAGCTTTTCCATTCAGTCCCTTAACTTCATATATTGCTGTGCACAATGCTATTGTTGTTTTTAATAAAGTGTCAGTATTACTGGTTTGGGATGAACAGACTACATTTCTTAAGCGCAAAAAGCACAGATGCTAATTAGATTAAAGCCTTTTTTCTGACACATTTGATTTATGTGCTGAAGCAAAACCTGCAATTTCAGTTATGGAAACTTGAAGATCATACATAATGAATTCGAAGTGAATTCCAGTTTCCTTGGTCTTTATATTCCTCTGATCTTCTCTCTTCCTCACTCTGTCCCCTACCTCTTAACGTGCTTGAGGTAGTAGGGGAGTGTGGATGAAGAAGGATGATCCTCTGTGTTCATTTCATGTAGTCCCATTTCTAACCGTAGATAGCAATGTGCAGGACCTCTTCCTGATCTTGATTCAAGAAAATAATTTCCTTGGAGTGTAAATGGCAGTGACTCCTGTTACCTCTGGAAAGCTATTAGTACTAATGCTTACACCAGATCCAAGGTGCTAGAATGCTTCTCTGAAACGCTTAATGCTGTCACTCCACTAATGGGAAGTAGGTTCTGAGGAATTTAATAAGGCAGTCACTTGTGTCTCCCATGCATAGTGGACTGTATAATTAATTTAATCCTGATGAATTTACTAGTTGTGGAGGGAAAGGTAGAGGGGATAAAAGGAAAGAGAAACCAATCAAATTACTCCTGTCTTCTTTCCTCCATCTCTTATGGAAGTCATAATCTGACATAAACAGGTATGCTCTTTAGAATTAGATCTAGGGGCGCCTGGGTGGCTCAGTCGGTTAAGCGTCCGACTTCGGCTCAGGTCATGATCTCACAGTTGGTGAGTTCGAGCCCCGCGTCGGGCTCTGTGCTGACAGCTCAGAGCCTGGAGCCTGTTTCAGATTCTGTGTCTCCCTCTCTCTCTCTGACCCTCCCCCATTCATGCTCTGTCTCTCTCTGTCTCAAAAGTAAATAAACGTTAAAAAAAAAAAAAAAATTAAAAAAAAAAATAGAATTAGATCTAGCCTGTCAGTCACTGTATGTCTTTGAGCAAGATGCAACCTCTGAGGGCCTCAGTTTCCCCATCTGTAAAAATGAGATTGTAGTAACTCCCTTGGTATTAGTGTGAAGATCAAGGATTTACTTGAAGGCCCACTTCCCATTGAACATTAGTTTCGTTTATTTTCTCTCTTCTACTCTCCTCTCTCCCTTTAACTCCACAATTTTTGGAGAAAAATCAGGAAAGAAACAAAAAGGAAACACCTGAAATTTTGCCGTCCACTGATAATTACTATTAACATTTTGATAAAAATCTTTCATTTTCCAGATGATCTTTATATATACACATAGACATTAAGGAGAATCCTTCTCTCTGTTTTACATTGCAACTTATTGTGGAAATATACTTCTTTAAAAAGCTAGAATCAAAATGTTCCTTAATTCTTTTGAAAAGGAAACACACTATTTTTGAATTATTTTTAAATTTTAACATAATGAGATTTTCAAGTCATTTCTCTGTGGGTTGATTAAAGGAACACACGAGTGTCAGATTAATCTACATGACAAATTATTTAAATTTACTGAATAGTTGACTCTACAGGTGCCTCATCTAAATATTTAGAGCACATTATGTAAAATAACCACAAAACCGGTGAATTTTGCTTGATCTTCAACTTAATAGTTTCCCATTCTCAATTAACTTTTCCAAATAATCTTGAATTGATTTGAACACACTGAAGAGCAGCTTACTTTGAGCCTTCATGCAAAGCACCAGTGTGAAAAAGAGCCAGATTTTTGTTCAGTCTTTTTTGATACATACCTTTCCTGGGAACTAGTTGTTTGAGCCCCACCACAAATGTGAGAAGACTTACATCAAAAGTAGAAAGTGTATAATTCAGTGATTAAACTTAGTGAAGAAACCAAAATAATAGAGAATTAAGTGGACTCAGGAGCCAGATTACCTTGGTCAAATCTTATTCTAACCTCTGTGATCTTGGATGAATTACTTAATGTCTTTGTACATCTGAGCCTTCATTTGTACGTAAAATGGGATTATTACAGATTGCAGAGACCTGTCTTGAGGATTAAATAAACTATTCATGTAAAGCATTTAGCCACATACCTTGTAGCATGTAATTAAATGACTTTCGGTGACTGTTCAAAAGATGAAAGCAGGTTTGCAAGCACTGTAACTTCATGCTTGTAAACAAAAGCAGATTAGTCATTGGTGTAAGCAACTGCTGATTGGTTCTCTTAAGTGTAACTGAGATTATAGTTTGTTTATGAAATAGATGAATAATTGGTATGAAATACTGTGTCAGTACTGAACAATTAGTGTGCATCTCAGTGCTAGTTTATATTGGTCTTAAAGGCTACCAGACCTTGTTATGTGTTTGGTAGTTCACTGTATGGATCACTAAGCACAATTATAATTTGAGACCTAAGTATAATGAGTGATAAATTTGGTTTCATTCTAGTGCTGTCTCTCATTTATTGTAATAATAATAGACTATGTAACAAAATTAATAAAAATGCTTAAGGACAAAGGTAACATTTTTAGAAAGTGACAGTGCTACTGTATGCATGCTAAAAATATTTTGTATAAAAGATGAACAAGATTGTGTTTATATTTGGGCTGTTTGTGTTATATCTTTGCAAATATAGAATTAACTCCATTACAAAGATCATCCGTTATGTATTCCAAAATTATAGCTAAGGGACATAAGAAATCTTTAATATTTTCTTATCTAGGGGAAAGACTCCATTTGCAAATAGATTATATTCTTAAAGTTTATTTATACTATATTTAGGAACTTTAGGTATATTTTCCTAGAGAATAAAATGTTCCCTAAACTTGTGATTAGGTTTCCAAACGGGCCTATACATCTATTTAATCTATAATGAGCTGAGAAAATAACTCTGTGTATAATAAAAGGCAATTTTTTAAAAGCCAATGGAAAACTAAATTTAAAAAGAGGAAACATACAGGTGCCACTTGAGGTAAAGAAGTTTTCATCAGTTGATGAGAAAATGGATAGAGATCTGTAAATACTGTAGTATACCTTCAAAGACCTGAGTGGTTCATGAGCTAGTTAATGTTTAATTTCATTTCAAATTTTACTCTTCTTAAAAAAAATAAAGATATATTAATAGCACTATAATTGTATTATCAGCTATGACTAAAACTTTTTTCTGGCTCATATAATCATGTGGGGGAAAAAGAAAAGATTTTTTAAATTTTTTTCTGAAGAGTTAAATAATATTTGGGGAAAAGAGCAGGAAGATTACTTGAAGGGGGTGTGTGTGTGTGTGTGTGTGTGTGTGTGTGTGTGTGTGTGTATGTGTGTATGTATGTATCCATCCTCAGATAATTATAAAAGGGTCCTATTTTCATGTTAATACCAACTCAACTCTCAGATTTTATAGCTAAGAAAAGCAAAGTGCCAACAGGTGCTGACTTACCCTAATTAGCTCACCTAGTAATGCCAGAGCCAGTGCTAGAGTAATCAAACAATTTTTCACTACATTGTAAACTTTTGGAGTGCAGGGACTATTTCTTATTTCTCAATATCCCTCTTAGTGTACCGCACATGGTAGATGCTCAGTAAATACTGACTAGAATGTTGAACAGGGTGAACTTAAGTCTTTCTATATAGTTCTAATAATGACCGACTCTCCAACTAACATGGGTTGAGTATCACACACAGGCGAGAGGGTTGTTAGAGCTTTCTGAAACCTTGTTCCATTGAAGCGTAATCAGTAAACCAGCAGCACTGGCATCACCAGCAACTGTGTTAGAAATGCAGACACTTGGGTCCCGTCACAGATCTACTGAACCTGAATCCTCATTTAACAAGATACCTGGGTGACTCACATGCACGGGAAAGTTTGAGAAGCGCTGTTAAAGTCCCTCACAGGGGAGCAGAGGAAGGTAGGAAACAGTTTTTTAGACTCTTGCTGTTGCCAATCCCAGAAAAGGTAGTTGCTATCTGAATAGGCCTCAGGATGAATGGGAGGAGGCAATAAGTTGCCAACAGCTACTTTTGTGTTCCAAGTGTTTTTTAAAACACAGATATTTTAACATTTTCTTATAGTGGTACATTTGTGGTTATGAGTAACCATTATTTTTCATCTTTTGAAGTTCTGTAAAACTGGAGATTTTTGCCTAAAGATTATTCTGAATGAATGAATTTTTGTAAATTTATTCTTTCAGTTATGCCTTTTTCATCATTCTGCTTCGTTAGGTCTTTAAAAGACATTGAAATATATGTGCAGCTCTGTTTCACAAATAGTTTTTATTTGTTCAGAATATTGTCATTTAGCCTTGTTTCCTTACAGTTGGAATGTTAAAGAAATTCATCAGGCTGCTGACTATCTCAAAGTGGAAGAGGTGGTCACTAAATGTAAAATAAAGATGGAAGATTTTGCTTTTATTGCTAATCCCTCTTCTACAGAGATATCTAGTATTACTGGAAACATTGAATTGAATCAACAGACTTGTCTCCTTACTCTACGGGATTATAACAGTCGGGAAAAATCAGAAGTGTCTACAGATTTAGTTCAGGCAAATCCTAAACAAGGGGCTTTAGCAAAGAAGTCATCTCAAACGAAAAAGAAGAAGAAGGCCTTCAACTCCCAGAAAACAGGACAGAATAAAACAGTGCAATATCCCAGTGACATTTTAGAGAATGCATCTGTTGAATTATTCTTAGATGCAAATAAATTGTCCAGTCCTGTAATAGAACAAGTTGCACAAAGAAATGATAATTCAGAACTCGAGTTGACATCAGTTGTGGAAAATACTTTTCCAGCACAAGATATTGTGCAAACTGTTACAGTGAAACGGAAACGTGGAAAATCACAGCCAAACTGTGCTCTGAAAGAACATTCTATGTCTAATATAGCCAGTGTCAAGAATTCTTATGAGCTGGAGAGCTCTGGGGAAGAGCTGGATCAGAGGTATTCCAAGGCCAAGCCAATGTGTAACACATGTGGGAAAGTGTTTTCAGAAGCCAGCAGCTTGAGAAGGCACATGAGAATACATAAAGGAGTTAAACCTTATGTCTGCCACTTGTGTGGAAAGGCATTTACGCAATGTAACCAGCTGAAAACGCATGTAAGAACTCATACAGGTAAGACTGGTTTGTGGGAGATATAATTGCTTTTATACTGTGACTGAAATAATATTTTTGTACAGTACATATTAATATACAGTGTTGACTGTGACCAACATTTGGTATATACTTGTATTCACAAAAATATTTGTTCAGCATGTTAAGACTGTTGAAAATTTCTTTGTAATTGTGACCAAGTATTTAATGGCTATTTTGTTTTATTGCAGCTGATACTCTGAAGTCCTAATGTATGACCTGTGTATACCATTTTCCTTCATAGTTAAAATGAACATATACTTGATTCTAGCTTGCTAAGTATTTAACAGAGACAAAGATTAAGAGAACTGATAAAGGGGAAAAGTAATTACAACTCAGTACAGTTCTCAGATTTTGCCAGTACATCTCACCTCCTGCTTCCTAATCTTTGTCAACTTCTGAACACGTTTCTTAGCATTACATACACATTTCATTCTTCAGCCTCTGCATTTACTTTTGTTTGGTACACTTAGATTTGTACCTTTTAAGATGCAATATGTATTTCTTTCATTGACCACCTTTTCACTATTATGAATTGAGAAACATTGATTTCTTTTAATTCTATCAAGGTTTTGATAGTTGATCTGGAAGAAAGGTTCTGTTTGCTTTATTACTTCTAGCAGTTAACAATTTCCGAATACTGAAAATAGTACTGTTGATGAACTCTTTTGAAAGCCTATGTGGCTTAAGCAACTAAAACAATATCTCCTTTTAAATATAAATTTTATTTGCTTGTTCTTTTAGGTGAGAAGCCATACAAATGTGAATTGTGTGATAAAGGATTTGCTCAGAAATGCCAGCTAGTCTTCCATAGTCGTATGCATCATGGTGAGGAAAAACCCTATAAATGTGATGTATGCAATTTACAATTTGCAACTTCTAGCAATCTCAAGATTCATGCAAGGTAAAAAAAAAAAAAAAAAAAAAGTTGTTTGATCTTTAAGTCTGGCATTCACCTTAGTCTTATGAATAGACTACTGTGTTAGTATTCAAGACGGTAGAGTTCTAGTTGTGGTTCTACCATTAAATTTTCTTAGCATAGTGAAGGAACCAGAGGAAGCCATGGTGGCTGGAGGGGAGTAAGTGAAGGAGAGAAATAAGATCAGAATGAGAAATAGGTGATATGATCTTGCTTGCATTTTTTTTTTTTTTTATCTTGCTTACATTTTAAGGGGTGGCTCTGGCTGCTATATTGGAAAACAATTGTAAGATTGCAAGAATGGAAGCAAAATTAATAGGAAGCTATAGATAAAATCCAAGTGAGAGTGATGATGATTTAGGCCACAGTGATGGCAATGGAAGAGATAAGTAGTAGTCAGATTCTGGACATATTTTTAAAGAATTTGCCGCAGATTGGATGTGGGGTATGATAGAAAAGAGGGTAGAATCAAAGATTCTGAGATTTATAGCCTGAGCACATGAAAAGATGGAATTACCATGAACTGAAATGGAAGAGAGTTGTGGATTAGAGCAGTTTAAGAGGGCGTGTAGGCATTTTGAGCAGAGATCTGAATATGTTAAATTTGAGCTATTAGTCATCTGAATGGAGATGTACAATAGACAGTTGGTTATGTAAGTCTGTAATTCAGGGGACTGGTTTGAGCTGAAGATACAAATTTGGGAGTCTTCAGCATATAGATAATATTTAAAGCTGTAATACTGAATGAGGTCACCAAGAAAATGAATGTGGATAGAGAAGCAATCAAAAGGACTGAATCATGAGGCACTCTAATCTTAAAAAATTCTGGGAGATAGTCAAGAACCAGCAGAGGTAACTAGCCAATATAGGAAGAAAACCAACAGTAGACTGCCCTGGAATCCCAGTGAAGGAAATTATTCCAGAAGAGAACAATCAGTTTTGTCAAATTTGGTGATACAGAGGTGAAGATTGAGACTTAACTGTTGGATTTTTTTTTTTTTT